ACTACTACGACTACTACGACTACTACGACTACTACTACTACTACTACTACTACTACTACTACTACTACTACTTTTACTACGACTACTACTACTACTACTACTACTACTACTACTACTACTACTACTACTGCTACTACTACTACTACTACTACTACTACTACTACTACTACTACTACTACTACTACTACTACTACTACTACTACTACTACTATGGTTTGCCATCCTCCTCGGGCGTCCTCCTTTTCCCCCGTCCCCAACGTCCTCCACACGGGCCCGCACCGCAGACTCCGCCATTCGCGGAGCGGCGCCGCGCTAAGAAGCTCCTGCGGGTTTCGGCGGGTTGGCAACCACGAAGAAGAGAGGAATGAGCATCGTTTCACCGACCACGAACCACACGGCCTTGATCCCACTGGCCGACTTGTCCTTCTAGGTGGGATATGTGCCATTTCCTTCGGGAATCGCAGGGCCGACTCCCACCTTGTACGGAGGAAAGGCTGATGGGCCTGCGATACCATGGCCCGCTGGAGATGGGGATAGATTAGAAAAATCTGGAAAAAACGGCACGAAGAAGAAGGAGAAGATGAGGAGAACCATTGTTTTTGCGCATAGCGCAACAGTCGGCATCAGGGAACCTGTGTGCCTGAAGTGATCCGCGTGTTCCCGCTCTGGGGAGTCTGATAAACAAGCCCCCTGTTACGGTCGAGCGCGCCGAAAGCTCACGGACTCTCTGGCTCATCAGACCGAGGCGGCGGTGCTGTAGGAGGTGGTCGAAGATTAACAACCCCGAGGAGGTGAAGGACGATAATGAACAACGAGAACGAGCGAGATCAAACAAACGAGCGAGTCTGCCGCCCCCGCGAAGCGACCAAACAAGGGCGGCAGGCGCGCTAAAAGCGCTGGCCTCCAGAAAGGCTTGGTTGCTGAACTGGTGTGAAGCGTCAAAGAAAAGTGTAAGGCCGGAAATAAGCGCCGCATGCGTTAAACATACTCCTACTCAAAAGCACCACCCACACAAAATGCAGCGCCCCCCCCTCTGGAGGCTTTCGTGCTGCTCCAGAAGTCTCCAGGGAGCAGAATGCACCCCAACACATTCTCATCGTAAACGGCAACGTGTGGACCGGGATGCGGGGCGAATGGCCCGCGCCACTTGACGGGTTATGGAGGATCGTTCTGGCGGATCTTGCGCAGGAGGGGAAGGAAGATGAGGAGAAAAAGCGGTAAGGGGTGGAACAGAGAGGAGAAGAAGTTGGTGGACAAATGTGCGCGTACAATCCGCAAGGCATTCTACACAATAGACTTCGGCCGCAACCGTGCCAGATTGTACGGGCGCTCACGCGTCGCCCAATTGAACGACACGATGGCCATCGCATGAGAAAGCGCGCGGTACATCTACTTGAAGAAGCGCGACTACATCAGGAGCCCTGCAGCAGCGCGAGCAACACGCCTGACGCCCGACTAGTAAAAAGCACGATGGGGACCATGTAGAAAAAGGATTGGGATATGATGTAAGATGGTGTACCATCCAGAAGACTGATCGGGTTTTGTTTTGGGTGCGATAGGAGGCCGCGCGATCCTGTAGCGGTCCAGTCAAATCGGGCGTCGGCACATTGAGCCAAACGCCAGCGGCATGCTCGCTATGCTCGCTGTACATATATCCTCTGAACCCCTATCTCAGAGTCGATGGGGGAGGAGACGAGCAGACCGAGCGGCAAGACCAAGCTGCATCTTCTGCAGATGGAAGTGCGCAAAGGCACGCGTTGGTACGAGCTGCGAAGCGTCGGCAGGCACGATCCAGCATCGAGCCAAAATCGTTCCGCAAAGTGGCGACAGGGCCCGGCCTGGCCAAGCGCCAGCGGCAGCCCTGCGGGGCCCCTCTGACGGAGACCCGAAGGCGCAAAAAGAGCAATGAAAATATAAGATTGCAGGCGAAACGAGAAAAAACAAAAAAACAAAAATGCGCTCATCTCACCGTGTGATTCCACGCCAAACTAAAGTTGTCCGCCAACTCGTCACGAGCCAGGCCCAACCTTCGAGGTCGGAGCCCTATATGGAGTGCAAGTCTTCAACTCGCGCTGACAGGATTGCGTTCCCGCCGACACTTGCAACAGCAAGTCCCGTTCGATACTGCCTTTGGCGTGTCCGTCGGAAGCCATATCCCGTGTATCAGACCATTGTACGCATCGTACGATACCTCTATCCATCATCTGTATTATCCAGCTGATGTGTCCTAGCAGCGTGCAGTCTGTAGGCGAAGTGAAGTCCTTGCTGGACAAGGGTTCGAATACCGACTCAGCATCGAGGGCGAGGGTAACCTTGATACAGAGACCGCCTATGTCAAGTATTGTACGCGGTCCCGCCTTTAGCTCATGTAGGGTAACAACTGTCGAGTAGCAGTCCTCTAAATTATGGGCTGCTGCCACCGTCTCCGCAAAGACACTTGATCCCACCTGCAGCCGATGCGACTTGCAGCAGGCATCGATTAGGTGCACGACAGATTTGCCATTACGCGCGTGTCCACGCCGGAGCAAGTTGGCACCTCTGATGCCCTACCCTTCCCATCTCGTCTCTAGCGTCCCCGGTCAAACGTCGATAGCCGGAGTCGGTGTAGGTCGACTTCTCCTGTGGGCTTCATACCGAAGCAAGCAATATCCTAAAGTTGGCTCTGCAAATTCCGCGCGATTACATTCAATCGCCGCACCTGAATATCGGCGGGTCCTTGAACCCGTTGTAGAGAGACAACATATACCATCAACCAGACCTGGGCCATGATGGGCACATGCTGAGGCCTCACGGGGGCTGACGAACATGTCTGCCACAGGCATTGTCGCTTTCTCCTCGGCCTCCAACCCCCGCGAGGTCAGGGCGCTGGATGGGGCGAGGATGTTTAATATATTCTCCCTGATCCCAAGTAAAATATCCATTCTCGTCCTTCGTATATCTGACGGCAAAATCAAAGTAAGTACGCGTGTTCAGTTTACATGAGCCAAACGTGTTTTCGACGCATTTTAGTGATCGAAAGTTTAGTCATTTCCAGTCATATTGAAATCGTCCACGTGTTTTGCCGTCAGTAGCGTCTCTGCTGTTTCGAGTTCAACGTCATAAGACGCGGCTCGCAGGCCGAAGCCACGCGTGATGTTGCGGAGCTTCCGGGAGAAGGCTCGCGGAGCGTCCTTCGCCCCGGCGCCTGGCTTCAGGCACTGCAAGCAGCGGCGACTTTCGTCGTGCTTCTCGAGCCCAGGAAGAGTTCGCAACGCAGCTGCCGATCCAGGTGGCAGCGTAAAGCACGCGATGCGCTCCCGATGTCCAATGGCTTCTCCAAGCTCACGCTAGGTGAGACCCTCCTCTCCAGCAGCTCCCGCGTGGCCCGCGCCAGCCCCGCAGGCTCCTCGCGCGCCGCCCGCGCGGGCGTTTCCCGCTGCCGTTGCGCCTCCTCCTCCTGACGGAGCGCCGCCTCGGCCTCTTCCGCCCGCGCTTGCGCTGGCTCCAGTTGCCGCACCGCCACCTCTGCCGCGGTTTCGCCTGCCGCGACCCTGGCGGCCGCGCGCGCAGCCGCCGCCCGCCCGGCTTCCACGCAGCCGCCGGCGCGCAGCTGCGCCTGGCGCTCGCAGGCGGCCTGCTCTTCCCTTTCCAGCGGCGCCAGCGCCGCGGGGGGCGCACCAGCTCTGCGCGTGACGGCCGCGGCCTGACAGAAGGCGTTCGCTTGGGCCCCCAGTCGCGGTTGCGCTCCACGCGCCGCTGGGAAGGTGGGCCAGCCCGCAGCCCTGGCAGCAGCGTTGGCGCCAGCAGCGGATCCAGCTCTGGCCGCTGCCGCGGCGGGCGCGGGCGGCGGCGGGCAGGTCGCAGGGGCTCCGCCGCGTGACCGGCGCACCTGCGACACTGCGCCGAAGAGGTCGCGCAGGACCTCGGCGGCCAGCGCGGCATCCTCTCGCCCGCGTCCACCGCGGCGCTGGGCGGTCGTCCATGCCATTACGAGCGAGCAAGGGAAGGGAACGGGAAGGGGTGGAGGAAGGGCGAGTGAGGAGGGAGGCGGCCGGGCAACGGCTGCACGCGACTCGATCCTCGTCCACCTCCTCCTCCTCCTGCTCCTCCTGCTCCTCCTCTTCCTCCTTCTCCTCCTCCTTCTCCTCCTCACCTTCTTGAGTAGTCTTATTGGTGACAGTAGTACTATGAGTATTATTATGACTATGCTTTTTCGTATTGATAATAGCGTTTTTCTGTTTAAGATTATTGTCATTATTTCTTGTATTATTCTGATACTGGTTACGATCATTACTATGGTAGTTTTAGTATTAATGTTCGCATTATCATTAATATTAAAATAAGATTAAAGGAGTAGTGATAATATTTGTCCTCGTCTTCCTTCTCCTCCTCCTCCACCTCCTCCTCATCCTCATCCTCATCCTCATCCTCCTCCTCCTTCTCCACCTCCTCCTCCTCCTCATCCTCCTCCTCCTCCTCCTCCTCCTCCTCCTCCTCCTCCTCCTCCTCTCCTCCTCCTTCTCCTCTTCATAATTATATAATTCCTCCTCCTCCTCCTCCTCCTCCTCCTCCTCCTCCTCCTCCTCCTACTCCTCCTCCTCCTCCTCCTCCTCCCCCTCCTTTTCCGCCTCCTCCTCCTCCTCCTGCTCCTCCTCCCCCATCCCCCTTCCTTACATCAGAGCGCGGGGGGGCCCAACGGACTTGCTTCTTGAATGCAAGCGCGCGGCTTTTTTCTCTTACCACACAACAGCCTTGATGTCACTAACTTCGCTAACGTGCGAATTAACTTGCTGTGATGCATCGCACGGCACGCACACTCCAAACGCGCGATACCTTCAGCCAAAACAGCTTAACAGTCTTATCGCCAGACTGGGCGCTAAACTGGTTTAACAATTTTAACGCCGGCTGCGCCGCACCGGCCCCGTGACATGTGCAGCATTTCGCGCGGCGTGGGGGGGGAGGGGGGGGGACAGGCGGAGGGGGTGGACGAGGCGACGGGGCAAAGGCGCTGTGCGGATAACCCCTGAGCGAAGGGGCAAAGGCGCTGTGCGGATAACCCCTGAGGTCCAAACGGCCACTGATATAACCAACAAAAAACCAGCGGTATCCAGAGGGGAAGAAGAAGGAGAGGAGGAAAGCAGGGGGAGGGGAGACAAGGAACCAGCAAGCCAGAAGACGCATGAATTGGGTATTGTGAGGCGCGGTGCCCCCTGCCCCGCAGGAGAGCACGACGGCATCCACGGGCGGCCCAAGCCACCGAAACTAGCCAGAGCTGACAAGTTCCGCAGCTGAGCCAGAATGTACGCCAGGTCACA